GATGTATCTCGCTGCATTGCGCGAGTACGCGTCTAGTATATATATATATATATATATATATATATTATTATTTATACAATTTTTTATATATATATATATATATATATATATATATATATTATTAATTTTGTTGTATTAATTAACATTTATTGGAGATTTGCTTTAATTTTATTATGAAATATTGTAATTGATTAATTTTCAAAATGTCATTTTTGGCTATTCTATATGCTTATAAGTTAGTTTTGCCAAACATGAATTTTCAGTTGACTTATCAGTCACCAGTTAGCTTATCAGCTACCGGCTTGTTTATCAGTCACCATTTAGCTTATCACCTACCAGTTAGTTTGCCAAATTGGACCAGAGCAGACTATATTTAACAACCGACAAAAATATTCGGTTTAACTTGATTCGACCGTTTTGAACAATTTGTCGGTTTTTTTTAACACACCTATCATTAGTTACAAATGATAAATTTATATATTTAATAAAAACAATTTGATATGTCTAAATTTTTCAAATACATTTTGGACAACTTTGTTTAGCAAAACTCAATTTTTGTGGCTCAATTTAGAAAGTGTTAGTTTCATTTCTCAATTAACTTCATCCCTGAATCAATAAAATTCCGAAATCCGTCAAAAATCAAAATCTAAAATTACAGATCGTTCTTCAACTTGCTCAATATTTGTCCAAAATTCCAAGTCTCGTTGGATTTGTTTAACTTTTTTCAACTTGTTTAATGTGTATATAATTTTTGAGATAGATGTTTATTTTATAATTTGGTATAGTATCTTTTATAATAATGTTATATTCATATAAATTTCATTTTAAAGACAGATGTTATGTTATTTTTTTGTTTAAAACCCATAATAGGCCAAAACCGTTTAAACTATTCAGACCAGACCACCTTTTTAGAGTATGATTTAACCAATTTTAATCACTTAATGCCAAATTGTTCTGTTTGAATTTTCTTTCTAAATCTCTATTACAATTTGGTTTGAGATTTTGAGAGTTAAACTAATTAAGCTGGACCACAAACACCCCAAACTAATGAAGCTTTTGTATATCTAATAAATTATTTCTAGATTTAAGAGGTATTTGGGATTACTTATTTGAAACAACTTATACTTTTCTACAAAAACACTTATCAACTTATTATAAGTCAGAAGGGTTTAACTTTTTAAAAAAAACTTCTTATTACCGGTTTGACACCGATATAAATTGTTTATCCAAACACTTAAAAGTGCTTATTACCGATGTCATACTGAAATAAGCCAATAAATTAAAATTTATAAACAATCCCAAACATCCCTAATAAAAATCCAAATCGTGGGGTCAAAATCCAAATCAATCCCACTCATTATCATCCGTACCATGAATATTGTGACATAGACGATCCACTCATCCACCACCGATCTTGTTAACTCTACCAACCACAATCCACGGTGACTAATTTGTCATTGATTCTTTTTACGAGGACAAAATTAGTAAAATTTCAAGGACGAAATTTGACAATTCAACAATAGTTTAAGGACCATTCTTGTAATTTACTCTTAGTATATCATTGGATGTTTGGATTCTTTCTTATCAAAAAATCAAACTCCAACTTCTCCTCCTCGTTCTCCTCTGCTCTTCCAACAAAAAAGAGGAGAAAAAACTCAAGTTGGTTTGCGGTTGAATTCAACGTTCAAATACCGATACAGATTTGAAAGCAGGATCAGAAGTTGAAAACGTGATCTTGGTTCAGAGAAGAAAAAACAAAGTTTTGGTTCGGAAAAATGACGAACAGTGAACTGGAAAACAAGCTGTTGGAGCATGTATACCATGAAAACTGTCCCGGTTGTAAAGTGGATCGACAAAAACGGATGCAAACCGGGTTACCGCTCAAGGAACTCATTATCATTTGGGTCACCGTCTTATGCGTCGGTAAGTACATATTTATGCCGTTTCAACATCTAATTTTCAATATATATATATATATATATATATATATATATATATGAAATTCAGTATGTTTCAATATCTAATTTCCAATTATTAATGATGTGTAAATCAAAAATTAAATATTATATGTAATTTATTAATTTAAAAAAATGAAAAATAGGGAACCAAATACCTAATATTTTGGCAGTTACGTTAACTCTATATACTTTCGAGAATGGTACCCAAAAAGGGTAAAAAATTGATAATTTATTAAATATATTTTCACGTCTATTATAATAAATCATTTTTTATTTACCAAAGAAATCGTACCCTCTACCATTCCTTTTGTTGTCATTAATTGTTTTCCGGGATCTGTGTCTCTCCACATTCCGTTAACCATCATTTCATTATTTTTTGGATTTTCGGTTGAAAGTGATGTTTTTATTTAAAAACGGTCTAACTTATTTTAAATAATTAAGTATTTAGATTATTTTTTGGATGAAAAATCTATTAAACTTTTTTATTTGAATGATTAAATCTCTAAATATTTTCTTGAATGAATAAAGCATTGAACTTCTAAAAATTGATTACCTACATATTTTGTTTTAAATAAGCTACTTGTAGTTGACTATGAAAGTTTTAAAGTAAAAATAAAACTAAATTAATTTTACCATTTCCAGAATCTACGTCATTAAAACCCTTCACAAACAATGGTATCGCTACCCCTTCACCACCCCCTATTACCCCAACGTTGTTCATATTGCCTAACACGATGTTGGCCCTTGCCAGAGCATCTCCAATGGAGGTTAATGAGGAGTCATTACATGCATCATGCATTGTGAATGAAGGTTAATGGAATAGAGGTTAATGACCATTGTACGCATCATGGGGAGGTCAATGGGACCCACTAATTTATTTTTTCTTTTATAATTAAATTTGTAAGGATTTAATTATGATATATATATATATATATATATATATGATGTGGAAATTCATTAAACTCATTGGAGTGTTATGGAGTATGAGTATAAAATGATAGAGTTGTATGGTGAGTGAAATGCTGATGTGGCAGTCCATAACACTTTGGTAAAGTGTCATCCATTGAAGATGCCCTTAGTCTCTGTCTCTCTCTCTCTTTGATCTATCATAAGAGAGAGAATCAAAATGTAGGTAGCTTATTTGGGTCAAAGATATGTAAGTAACTAATTTTTAAAAGTTTGATGATTAAATTTATAGAAAATTCATGAATTTAATCATTCATAATAAGAAAGTTTAATATTTTTTTTATTCAAAATTAAAAAGTTTAATGTTTTATCAATTATAATTTTGTTAAAATAAAATATTAAATTTTTTGATTTTAACGAGATCCTAACATTAATAATATCATTAAAATATTTAACATATTTAATAAAATATTATTTTTATAAACCTTTAATTTTTATCCCTTATTGATGGAAAAGATTAAAAAATTCTTTTTTCTTTTAAGTATATGATTTTAGAGATTTTTTATACAATGTTTTCATGTCACCTTATCATCCACGTACTTGACATAACATTTCTTATTACAACATTGTACTTTCAAACATTTAACGTTATATATTAGATTAATTAAAAAATCTAAATTATTCATTAATGTAACAATATTAAAAAAACTTTTAGATCATAATTTATTTCCCTACCACTTATAAAAAAGGTTTAAAAAATATACTTTTTTGACCTAGAAAAATAAGAATTGTTTTGTTTTTTCATAAGTAAAATACTTATCTTGAAAAGAATATATCACATTAGTTTAAAGAAAAATTGGCATAACATATTATTTAATTCATATATTAAATTAATTAGATT